ACTACTTAAGTAGGCAGCTACCCTCTGCGAGCTGGTGGTTATTTCTCAATCGTCTGCCGATCACGTCCACATTCATGCTCTGGTCTTGGCCTCACAGCCGATGCCGCGACGACGTAATTGTGGACAGACAAACTTGCAAAAGCATCAACTGTCATTGCGGGACGTGTCACATGGGAAAAATGGTAAAGCAACGCTGACAGCAAAGCCTGACTTCCGGTGAAGACGCTGATTTTGGACGTGTCTTTTCTTCCAGAAATCGCTTCCGACTTGTTCACTCGAGAATAGCCACTCTCTCAACAGTCAAAGGACGTCGTCCTTGGGTTCATGAAGCTTAATTCCAGGCCTAATTTGATCGGGAGGACAAGAGTAGGAGCTTAAATTAGATGTGATGTCACTTTTAAAAAACGCATTCTTCGAAGTCTACACACTATGCACATGTTCTCGGCTCAAAGCGAAAGTGTCTTCACAGCATGTTTGATTTGGCCCATTTGAGAAAATATCTCCTCCATCATGTGCTCATTGATGCAGACTGAGGTTATCTGCTCGGCTGTAGTAGGACAATACTAATACTATACAGTTTACCTATTTTTGTATAAATTGTATACATTGCGAGCTCTGCGCTTGAGGACAGCGTAAACAGCTTGTTGGCTTGTCTCTTTATCTCTCAAGCCCCCGGTCGAGATGTCGAGTCCTTATATGCTTGATTGGGTACACTTTCATTGGTACCCTTTTAAGGGAGGCAATTTTCGCGAGGTTGGAGTGATGAAGCACAACCGAAACGCGGCCAAAGCAATTGTGGAAATCGTTGGCAGGTCTGTGAATTCGCTGAATCCGGAGGCTGACATGAACTTCCAAGACCAAGAGACTTCTGAAAGCTTCAACTGTTGACTCGTCGTTTGGCGATTCGAGAATTGGGCATAGACTGAAGAAGATCACGACTGGCCCAGAGACCACGAATGACGCCTTCTTAGGGTGCTGCGCTTCAGACAACGAATCTGCAATGAGGCTGGAGCCAAACACCATTTCGATTTGGCCCATTCTAGCAAATCATATCGGATGGATTGCACTGAACAGCCTGATTCATCAGAGACTGTTGCTTAGCAATCGGCCTGGAACCGCACACATCATCCGAATTTATGAATGACAGCAAAAACATTGAGAAAAATGCACAACCGATAGCTTTAGTTACCCCAGCTTGTTGAGGTTGTTGGAGGACTGATGGTCAACTTTCCAAAAATCGCATCACCAAGCCCCACTAAGGCTCTTGCTCATGATCTATTTACATTCTCGATAGACTTGATAGTCATCATAAATGCAACCAACGTCTGATTTTATTCTATAAATGCTTGGTGGAGGAGAGAGTGGAAAGCTTAAAATAGAACAGACATACTACTACTGTATACTACTACTTATACTATGCTTTCTTGGTTTTTAAGTGTGAGTTGCAGGCTTCTCTTATATTGGAGAAAGTGTAAAAGACGCAATACAATAGATTGTAATATTTTGTTTTTTATCCAACTCGCAATTTATTTCAAAAGTGGACCATACAATAAAGCCCAACCGCAATCGCCACCACGAACTTATTGGTACCATAGCACACAAAACACACGCGTTCGAGTTGTACGCTCGCATGAACTTATTTGACTTAAACAGGTGGGCAAAATTAGTGTTTTTTGAAAGAGGAAACGTTTTAGAGTTAAAAATAAAGTCTATCAAAATTTGCACGATTATTTGTGCAACGCCTTAAAGCGCACCTGGACACACCCTTTTCTTTGGCCCACAAAATGCCCATACCAAGAAAACTTTGATGAATCAAAAGAACTTGAAGCATTACGAAGTTATGAAAAATGCATTTAAAATCTGAATACAATCACTTCACTTTAGGATTACTATTAACACTATGAAGAGAATAGTGACCCAATGATTGATCAAGTGTAATAAACTATTGCTTCCCTCAAAGTTTGCAGAAGATTTACCCTTTAAGAAGAATATTTTCTGAGACTTTCAGCAAAACTTAATCACCATA